CCACAACGCCTGGCCATTTTTTGGTTGCAGCCATCATTGTTGTTTGGCGGGCCCGAGCTGGGGATTCGAACCCGCCACCTTCGGTGTATGTGGCTGGCGCCTTAGACACTTGAGCCACAGGTGCCGAGCCTCTTCTTCTTTTTCCTTTTCTTTTTCTTTTTTTTTTGAGACAGAGTCTCACTCAGTTACGCTAGGGTTGAGTGCCATGGTGTCATAGCTCACAGCAACCTCAAGCCCTTGGGCTCAAGTGATTCTCTTGCTTCAACCTCCTGAGTAGCTGGGACTACAGATGCCTGCCATAATGCCTGGCTATTTTTTAGAGACAGGGTCTCGCTCTTGCTCAGGCTGGCTGAGAACTCCTGAGTTCAAGCACAACACCTGCCTTGGCCTCCCAGGGTGCTGGGATTATAGGTGTGTGCCACTGCGCCTGGCTGACCTGGTTGGTTTTTTTTTTTTCATTGAATGGTAACTATGTACATTAGTGCACTTCTGGGGTACAGTGTGGGATTGTCACACACAATCCAAAATACTTCCATCAAACTGGTTAACATAGCCTTCATGTCATTTTCTTAGTTATTGTTCTAAAATGTTCACATTCTACTCTTAGAAAGATTCACATGTACCCTTGTAAGATAAACCTCAGAAGTGATCCCTCTAATCCTCCTCCCTCCACCCATTCCCTCCTCCCCTCTCCCTCCGACCTGGTTGGTTTTCAATTTATTTATTTATTTATTTTTGAGACAGAGTCTCACTATGTTGCCCTTGGCAGAGTGCTGTGCTATCACAGCTCACTGCAATCTCCAACTCTTAGGCTTAAGCAATTCTCTTGCCTCAGCCTCCTGAGTAGCTGGGCCTACAGGCATCTGCCACAACACCTGGCTATTTTTTGGTTGCAGTTGTCATCATTGTTGTTTAGCTGCCAGCCTGGGTGTATGTGGCTGGTGCCCTACCCACTGAGCTATGGGCGCCGCCCCTTATTCATTATTTCTTTTAGAGAGAGGGTCTTACCTAGGCTGGAGTGCAGTGGCCTGATCATAGTGAATTATAATCTCAAACTCCCAGGCTCAAGCAGTTCTCCTGCTTCAGCCTCCCCAGTGGCTGGGACTACAGGTGCATGTCCCCATCCCTGGCTTACTTTTTTATTTTTTACCAGAGATGGGGTCTCACTATGTTGTTTAGGCTAATCTTGAATCCCAGCCTCAAGCAGTCCTTCTGCCCTGGGCTCTCAAATTGCTGGGATTACAGATGTGAGCCACTGTGCCTGGCTTAATATTATTTATTTAGAATCTTTTAAGAAAATAGAAAAAGGAAAATGAGTATAGTTTTCATTGATTTTTAGTAGATTTATAGAATTGTACAACCATCACCATATCTAATTTTAGAGCATTTCCATCACCATGGAAAGAAACCTTGCACCCATTTACAGTCACTCCTGTCTCCCTCCCTCATTAATTCACTCTTTGCCTACTCTTCTGTCTCTATGGATTTGCCTGTTCTGGACATTATATATGCAGGGACTCCTACAACACATGATTTTCAGTGACTGGCTTCCTTCACTTAGTAAGATGCTTTTAAGGTTCATTCACAGTATATAGCATCTAACACTATATTTAGTTTTATTTTGTTTTGTTTTTTGAGACAGAGTCTCACTATGTCGCCCTCGGTAGAGTGCCGTGCTATCACAGCAAATAGCAACCTCAAACTCTTGGGCTTAAGTGATTCTCTTGCCTCAGCCTCTCAAGTAGCTGGGACTACAGGTGCCCACCACAACACCTGGCTATTTTTTGGTTGTAGTTGTTGTCGTTTACCTGGCCCAGGCCAGGTTTGAACCTCCAGGCTCGGTGTATGTGGTTTCCATGGTGATGGAAATGCACTATATTTCACTCCTTTTTTTATTGAGACACAGTCTTGCTATGTCATCCTCAGTAAAGGGCCGTGGCATCACAGCTCACAGCAACCTCAAACTCCTGGGCTTAAGTGATTCTCTTGGCTCACCCTCCCGAGTAGCTGGGACTACAGGTGCCCGCCACAATGCCCAGCTAGTTTTTTGGTTGCAGTTGTCATCATTGTTGTTTAGCTGGCCCAGGCCGAGTTTGAACCTGCCAGCTTCAGGGTATGGGCCGACACCCTACTCACTGAGCTGCAGGTGCTGCCTTCATTCCTTTCTTAATGACTGAATCATATGCCATTGTTTGAATATAGCACATATTTCTTATCCATTTATCAGTGGATGGACATTTGGGTTGTTTCTTTTTTTTTTGGCTATTATGAATAATGTTGCCATGAACATTGTGTACAAGTTTTTACCTGAATATGTGTTTTCATTTGTCTTGTGTATACAGCTAGGAGAGGAATTCCTGGGTTATATTGTTACAGTATATTTAACCTTTTGAAGAATGATTTTCCAAAGCAGTCAAACCATTTTACATTCTCACTAGAAATATATATGGTTTGCAATTTCTCTATATCCTTCCAGCACTTGTTACTATTTGTCTTTTTGGTTATGGCCATTCTAGTAGATGTGAACTGATATTTCATTGTGATTCTTATTTGCATTTCAATAATGGCAAATGATGTTGGAGATCTTTTCATGTGCTTATTAGATATTTGTGTATCTTTTTTGGAGAAATGTCTATTCAGACTCTCTACCCATGTGTAAATTGGCTTGTCTTTTTATTAAATTATGAGTTCATTATACATTCTAGATCCTAGTTTCTTATCAAATATATTATTTGCAAAAAAATTCTCTCATTGTGCAGGTGGTCTACTTTCTTGTTGGTGTCCTTTGAACCAAAAAAGCTTTTTAATCTGATGAAGTGTAGCTAAATTTTTCTTTTTTAATTTGTGCTTCTGGTGTCATATCTTACAAACGATTGCCTAATCCCAGGTCAAATGTATATTTTTAATTGTTATTTAGATTTAGGAATGAGAAACGCAAAAGAAGAGCCTTCACTACTACCCAAGTTACTCCCATTTTTATTTTTTATTTTTTTATTTTTTTTGAGACAGAGCCTCAAGCTGTCCCCCTGGGTAGAATGCCGTGGCATTACAGCTCACAGCAACCTCCAACTCCTGGGCTCAAGCGAGTCTCTTGCCTCCGCCTCCCAAGTAGCTGGGACCACAGGCGCC